TATAATAATTTATCATTTATATATTGGTCTATTTGAATCGATCAATCATCCTAATAATATAATTTTCTTTTCATTCATAGGTTCTACCACGTGACAAGACAGTTTTTGATCTTAAGAAGACTATGGAACGACACATGTGTTTATCTTTTGTAAGGGAAAACGTCCGGAAGGTAATAAATTGCAAGCACATTTGGATGAAATATCATCTTTTTTACAACATATTAAACTTCTTTGTAACAATAAAAATGATGTGATATATGGTATTATAAATTCAGCTGAATTACATTTTATAAAGAAACGTCAAATGTAAAATAAATTGGAAAGAAGTTAATATCTTGAAACAACTTACTTTTACTACCTACTTGTGTTACTTTTTACNTCTGTTACTTTTTACCACTTGTCAACATTGTTTTATTTACTCATAACATTGTCATCAAGAATTGATACGACTGACTAAGGTAGCAGAGACTAAGGTAGAGTATATTATTGAAAGTGATCCACTTCTCTCTGGATTACTTTCAAATGTTAGGATAGAGGAGCTCACATCACAGATTGATGTTGCACAAGGACAAGCTATAACTTTATTCCAAAATCATAGAGAATTGCCAAAACTTGTAGTAGTGTTAATGTTTGAGATGTTTATAATAATTTATCATTTATATATTGGTCTATTTGAATTGATCAATCATCCTAATAATATAATTTTCTTTTCATTCATAGGTTCTACCACGTGACAAGACAGTTTTTGATCTTAAGAAGACTATGGAACGACACATGTGTTTATCTTTTGTAAGGGAAAACGTCCGGAAGGTAATAAATTGCAAGCACATTTGGATGAAATATCATCTTTTTTACAACATATTAAACTTCTTTGTAACAATAAAAATGATATGATACATGGTGTTATAAATTCTGCTAAATTACATTTTATGGAGAAACGTGGAATGTTAATTGGAAAGGAGTTAATATCTTGACACAACTTACTACCTACTTGTGTTACTTTTTACTTCATGCCAACATTGTTTTATTTACTCATAACATTGTCACCAAGAATTTATACGACTGACTAAGATTGCAGAGACTAAGGTAGAGGATATTATTGAAAGTAATCCCTCTGGATTACCTTCAAATGTTAGGATAGAGGAGCTCACATCACAGATTGCTGTTGCACAAGGACAAGCTATAACTTTATTCCAAAATCATAGAGAATTGCCAAAACTTGTAGTAGTGTTAATGTTTGAGATGTTTATAATAATTTATCATTTATATATTGGTCTATTTGAATTGATCAATTATCCTTATAATATAATTTTGCTTTCATTCATAGGTTCTACCAAGTGACAGGACAGTTCTTGATCTTGAGAAAGTTGTTGTGCGAAGGCTATCGTGTGTATTTTGAAGAGAAAACATCAGAAAGTAAGTAAGTTGGAAACACATTTGGGAGAAATATCATGTTTATTTTTGAACATATTAAACTTATTACTAATAATGGGAATATTATGATATTTTGTATTACAAATTGTGCTGCATTGCATTTTATGAAGAAACGTTGGAAAAGAAATACATTGGTAAGGAGTTAATATCTTCAAATAAGTTGTTACTTTTACTACTTAATATTTTATTTACTTTAATATTCAAATAATGAGATTGCTGGCGAATCACGAGAAACTTTGATCCGTCGTCTCGTGTATAGAACGAGAGAAATGGTATTTAAGAAACAGATTTAAATAACAGAAGCCGAAAGACCGATAACGTGTTCGGCGATTCGTCGACGAAACTTTTGTCGAGTGTACAACGTAAAACAGTAGATGAACTGTAGATGGAATGTTTAACGCTAAGAAGACGTTTTAAAGAATTGACTGAACGCTCAAGGAAGGAAAGTGTTGAATAGCTCATGTTGGAAATAGCGGAACTGAAGCGCCACAATGCCGCTCTGGAAGCGGTCTCTCAGGTTCGTGTGCTTTCGTGACATTTGCCGATTTTTGTAATTATATGGCGATTATTACTGAATGATATTTCACAAGGCAATGTGTGCGTGACCAGCCAGCTGGAAAAATTAGAAATGACCAAAGATATTCTAGAAATGATGGATCTCAAGTTGGAGAGTGAAAATTTCGAGCTGCGGCTCGCATTAGATAAGACGAATTCGGACACTCCGCGATTGCGAGAGAAAGTGGATCATTTGGAAAAGTGCTCTTACTAGAATTATCTTTCTATATCCAGAAAACGCAGATAGGAATGAACAATTGATATCATTGCATATTATTATTATTACAGATATATAAAGTTATTGAAAGCAGAAAAGTCGTCAGACTTCTAGATCGTCAGATAAAGACTTGCCGGAACCATGCGCTAAAAAATCTACCTTCGAAATGGAGAAAACAATATTTACATTCAAGCGAATTGTCAAGAAGCTTCAGGCAGAGAATAAAAGACTGAAATTTAGTTCCAAGAGAAATCATATTCTAGTCAATCAAGTAAACCACCAGCCTCTTCTTTCATATTGTATAATATATGTTTATTTTTTGTTACAATAAATATATTATTATGGTCACTTATTTCGGATGCAGGGAAAGATAAGTAGATTTGACATTGAAGGGGATACTTTACTCCAAAGACAATACGAGTAATCTCAAAAACGTGTGATAAGCTTCGAATTTGCGACTGGCTGAGCAGAAAGTAGTTATGTTAGAAAAAGCTCAGAAAGAAGATGATTACGGAGGCTTGAGAATTTTGAGGTAACAGTTAGTCCACAAATTTGAGCTTCTGAAAAAAGTGAAACAGCTGCTGACTCGTGCAGCCATCAACGAAGAAACGTTGCGGCAANAGGAAAGATAAGTAGGTTTGACATTGAAGGGGATACTTTACTCCAAAGACAATACGAGTAATCTCAAAAACGTGTGATAAGCTTCGAATTTGCGACTGGCTGAGCAGAAAGTAGTTATGTTAGAAAAAGCTCAGAAAGAAGATGATTACGGAGGCTTGAGAATTTTGAGGTAACAGTTAGTCCACAAATTTGAGCTTCTGAAAAAAGTGAAACAGCTGCTGACTCGTGCAGCCATCAACGAAGAAACGTTGCGGCAACGTGTAAGAATTTAAATTACGCATGACAGAAAGATTAGCTAACGCTGGAAATCGTTCGTATAATCTCGTTGTTACCAGGTGCAATAGCTGGAATCAAAGCAAACTCTATCGACAATCTCGAAGTGTTACATGACTTCACCGAAATAATGGGTGTTCTGGAAATAAACACAATTTTAAGTAAACTTAGATAGATTTACAGTGAAAGTCGTATATTTTTATCAAGACAAATGTATACACACATATTTTATGCATGTTTTCTCAGCCAAACATATTTATCTCAAGTGGAACCTTGCCTTCTTTATCCAGTGCTTATGTCGCGTTTTACAATGATTTTATATGCATACATATAATCGTATTAATTTTTTGTACACACACATAATGTTCATGTGTAAATGAAAGAAGTTGTTGTTATTCTAAGACATTTTTTTTGTATATCTGATATATGTATCGTATTGGNCGCTGGAAATCGTTCGTATAATCTCGTTGTTACCAGGTGCAATAGCTGGAATCAAAGCAAACTCTATCGACAATCTCGAAGTGTTACATGACTTCACCGAAATAATGGGTGTTCTGGAAATAAACACAATTTTAAGTAAACTTAGATAGATTTACAGTGAAAGTCGTATATTTTTATCAAGACAAATGTATACACACATATTTTATGCATGTTTTCTCAGCCAAACATATTTATCTCAAGTGGAAC